TTGATTAGTCTAAATTTATATCTTCAGTTTATCACTTTCTCCAAAACAGCATAGGCTTATACATCCAGTTACTTACTCAGCATTTCCATTTGGTTGTGAAATAAGCAAGTCTCAAACTGCATTCCTGAACTCCTCTCTACCTCAGACCCTTAAAAATGCTCCGCTTGATGGTCTCATTTTGGTAAATGGCAACTCTATGATTTCACTTGCTCAGGCCAAAAACTATGGAATAATTTTGGCCTTTCTATTTTCTTAGGCCCAGTGTTTTGTTCCACCAGGAATCCTTTTTGTTTTTCTTTCACAATATAGTATATCCAGAATTGTGCTTAACACTGCTTAACATTACCACTTTGATTATCCTGACTCAAATCCCATCTTCTCTCCTGCATCTACAACAAGTGTTGGTGGTACCCAAAAGTAATCCCTGTTACTTTCCTTTATTTTCCTCCTTCTTTCCTACTCTATGATACCTTATCTTAATTCCTTTTCTCTGATTAGAATTTAAACTTCATAAATACAGGGACATCTTCAGTACTTAAAACAGTGCCTGGCACAAAAGTATATTCCTAATTCATACTGATAAATGAATGTCCTGGGTTTTCTTCATTATATTTAGTATGTGATTCAGTTTCTCCCTTAGGATATAGGACCTCCTGTGATCCCAGAGTTCTCCTTTCAAGTTAAGTCATGACAAGAAGATAGAGATTCTTCCATATTCTAATAGTATTTGAATTTGCAGTTATTCATAGTTTTTACATTCTATTAATTCACTTGACTTCATTCTTCTATGCTTATTTCTGTTTTGAGTGTTGTTTGGGGATTTTATAGAAAAGAATTTTCTGTTAAATTTTCAAAGCTGATGTGACATATCCATTTATTAGTTTAAAACAATTCAGATTAATTATTGAATGTACTAGTGATAAATCGGATTCATCTAAACTTTTAAGTATGCTGAAATTGTTGAAAATACCTCTGTTAGTTTCTTGAAAATGTGTACTTACTTCAGATGTTGCTTTAAAAAATTATTCTAAATTCTGAGGAGTCTGAAAAGATCCATACCTCTTTGGAAGTATTGTTTGTAATCGGACATAGAGTACAGTAAACGCTTGATTTGGAGAATATTTGCATATACCTATTTTGTAGATGATAAATAACACTTAGAAGATCCTGGGACCTAAAATGTACAAGATACCTGCCATTTCCATAGGTTGAGAAATGAGATGTGGTAAAAAATTGTATCAAAGTATCAAAAAAGATAGTACTGGGGCACCTGGATGGCTCAGTCGATAGACAACTGACTGGATTTCTGCTCCGGTCATGATCTCTGGTTTGAGCCCTGCATCGGGCTCTGCACTGACAGAGGGATTCTCTCTTTCTTTCCCCCTCTCTCTGTTCTTCCCCCCCACTTATTCTCTCTCTCTCTCTCTCACTCAGAATAAATAAACTTAATTAAAAACATTTTTAAAAAACATAGTATTAAGGATAGATTTGTGATGACTTCTGTTACTTTTTGGCTCATTGTTGAGAGTGGGAGAAGTAGGAAAGTGAATAGTGGTCACTTTATACTTCCTCTCAGATACTTTAATATGGTCTCTAATATGAACATGAAGTCACTTTTTGTTTTTAACTAACCCATAGAAGTTATAGGACATGAATCATTATATTTTCTTTTGCTGTCACACACTTTTTTAAAAAATATTTCCAAATGATTTGTATCCTCATCACGCTCTAAATCCTGACTGACTATTCAAATATACATGAAAAATACAAACAGTTTTATTTTCATGATTCTAGTGTTTTCATGGGAGCTAAGGAAAACACTTTTCTCTCTTTCTCTCTGAAAGGATAATAAATTCAATTTAATTAATTAGTCATTGGTACAAATGTATTTTGCTTTTCTTTGGCCTCTGGAGTGTGCAGTAATGAGGAACACCTTCTGACAATGTCAGGTAGGCTCTTGCCAGATATGAAAGGTTCAGTTCTTTGCTGTTCCTTAGCCTCTTTTATATTCTAGACTTACATCACTCTTAATGAAGAACTTTATTAAAAAACTTCAAATAATTTGGGTCTTTAGAAATAAACATTTACGTTTCTTGTGGCGCCTGGGTGGCTCAGTCGGTTGAGCATCCAACTTCGGCTGGGGTCATGATCTCACAGTTTCGTGGGTTCGAGCCCCGCGTTGGGCTCTGTGCTGACAGCTGGCTTAGAGCCTGGAGCCTGCTTTGGTTTCTGTGTCTCCCTCTCTCTCTGACGCTCCCCTGCTCACGCTGTCTCTCTCTCTCTCTCTTAGAAATAAATAAAACATTAATAATAAAAAAGAAATAAACATTTACGTTTCTTGAGGACACACTTCTGTTCTCTTGTCAAACTCTACTTCATGTGGGAAAGTTGGGGGAGGAGGTAGGCTTAATGTTTGGGAGACCTTGCGAAGTGAGGCATTCGAACAGTGACTTTGGTATGAGAACTACAGTGAAGAATCTGTTTCTGTACAGTTTTAAGTTTCCATGGAGGAAGATCTTACTTAGAAATGGTTTTTAACTTTTGGGTTTAGTCTAGGATTGGAAATATATTAGATACTTGTTTGCAGGCAACAGAAACTTAACTCTGGCTAACTCAAACACAAAAAAGGACATACATCATTAGGAGCTTATGGAATCTATGGAGGAGCTAAATTACCAATACTTGAAAGGTAGTATAAAGCCTTGTTCAGAGGTTTAAGAGTTGAAACAACAGAAAACTGTGCCAGAGTTTACTTTTGTAGCAAGCAAAAACTAAGAATAATTTTGCAGAAAAATTGGAAAATAAAAATTGCTCATTATCTCCTAGATATTAAAACAAAAGATGAAAAAGAAAAACCTGATAGTAATATTAATATTTATGAGTAAAATTAAACACTTTTTATGGGCACCTGGAGTCTCAGTGGTTAAGCAAGGCCCTCTTTTTCTAGTTTTAGTAGCAAGGCCCTCTTGATGGCTACTGATTTAAGAAAAATCTACTTTATTATTAAGAATCCTTTTGTCGATAGATTTTTTAAAAAAATCAGATAATGAACGTTAAATTTTATTGAATGCCTTTTCAGCATCAAATGAGGAAGTCACTGTGAGCTTTCAGTGTTATAAATAGTTTAAAAATATCCTTAGAGGGGCACCTGGGTGGCTCAGTCGATTAACCTATGACTTCGGCTCAGGTCATGATCTCACAGTTCAAGAGTTGGTGCTCCACACCAGGCTCTGTGCTGACAGTGCTTGGAGCCTGTTTCAGATTCTGTGTCTCCCTCTCTTTCTGTTCTTCCCCTATTTGTGCTCTTTTTTCTCTCTCTCTCAAAAAAAAATAAACATTAAAAAAAATTTTTTAAAATATCCTTACATTCTTGGAATATCCTACTTAGTCATTGTGTCTTTTTTTTTACAATATAAACTGGGTATTATTTCATAATATATGAAATTTTTAATATTCATAAATTGATCATTTATATATTTTCTGGTTTACTACTAGGCTTGTGGTAGCCTGCTAAAATACATTACAATGCTTACATAATTTATATGTCTTGGCTTAATTTTAAAAGCTTAGAAATTATACTTGAAAGGTGATAGAGCACAATAAATTTGGGGGACTTGATACTTTTGGAGGGGAGTGGCTAAATAAAACCTTTTTCTTCCATAGCTGTTAAGTATAGTCACTGTGAATTGTCAGTCCTTTTTTGTAATACGTTCCTTCAGTTGTCTCCTGGGTGACACAGTTTGCTCTCCTATTACTTATTATTTGCTTTTATTCATGTATGGTTTGGATGGTACAGTTTGTCTCTTTACTTACTTTTTACTTACTCATTTGTGGTTTTATTTCCCCTAAAAGGGCTCATAGAAATAATATTTTGTAAAGTTTTTGTAGTTGTTTAGAATTGTTTGAACATGTTTAAAACACATTTTTGTGGTTATGTTTTAGGTGATACCTCTATATTTTTAGATTCATTTAAAAATATTAGACATAACTCTAAATTTCAAAGTTACTATTTATATAGTATATTGTTTATACAGTTTCCATGTTTGAGTGTTTATATTTGTTTATTTCTGAATTTGAATATTTATTTGGTCAGGAGACATGTGAGTTATAAGCTCTCCAAGGGCTTGTATATATGTTGTAATATACTTGTCAATGAGCAATGTCTTGCTTGAGTTTAGTTTCATAAATATTAGTCTTATATCTATTAAAATAATTTAGATTTCACACATTGCTTTCAGGAAGGGAGTCAGTATTATAAGGGAAAGGTTTGTTGTCATTTTATTTTAACTTTTGGTTGTGGCATTTTTTTTTCATTCATGAAATGGAAAAAATTGATTTCATATTTATAAAAGTGTTGTTTTAATGAATTTTTTGGCAGTTGGTGTATCTTAAGTGAAGGTTTTTATAGATATTTTTGATAGAGGGACCCTCTAGAGGAAGATTCTTTGGTATTATATTTGGTTCAACAGATCCTGCATGTATTAGTTATCTATTGCTAACTAACAAATAATCCTAAAACTTAGTAACTCTAAAACAGTGTGCACTTATTATGTCTCTTTGTGTCACGACCTCATGCATGGTTCAGCCGGCTTCTTTGCGTAAGAGACTTTCACTAGGCTGCAGTCAAGGTGTCAGTTAGAGCTGGGATCTCATCGGAAGGCTTGCCTGGGAACTGATCTTCCAAGCTTATTCTTGGCCCAATCTATTGCTTTTTCCTTTCATGCAACAATATTGGCAGGTATTTGATTTATTTGAGAGTCACTCTGTGGTTTTAACATTCAGCCCTGGGAACATCTACCTCTTTTGAGTCCTTCCTCTTATTTATTCAAAATGTGTGTGTGTGTGTGTGTGTGTGTGTGTGTGTGTGTGTGTTACACCTGTGAGGACCTGTAGAAGGGAGAGTGGGAGGGAGAGAGGGAAACAGGAAGGGCTGGGGGGAGAATGATCAGATGTTAGTATAAGTTTTTTCCATTTTGAGAACTGTTTTCTCCCCCCCATAGGTGCCTTAGCTGGACCAATTATTGTGGAGCCACATGTCACAGCAGTATGGGGAAAGAATGTTTCATTGAAGTGTTTAATTGAAGTAAATGAAACTATAACACAAATTTCATGGGAGAAGATCCATGGCAAAAGTTCACAGACTGTTGCAGTTCATCATCCTCAGTATGGATTCTCTGTTCAAGGAGAGTATCAGGGAAGAGTCTTGTTTAAAAACTATTCACTTAATGATGCTACAATTACTCTACATAACATAGGATTCTCGGATTCTGGAAAATACATATGCAAAGCTGTTACATTCCCACTTGGAAATGCTCAGTCCTCTACAACTGTAACTGTATTAGGTAGGTATGCTTGAATTATATATTTTGGTGATAGTGGCAAGAATTATAATAAAAATATTTTCAAGATTTTTAAATAATTGAAAATATATATATATATTTAGATGTGAAATAATTCAAATATGATTTTCCAAGTTCTGTCTTAAAATTCTATGATTCTAGCCTCTCTCAATTTAAACAAAATTTTGTCTGTATCTGCCCTAACCATTTATGTGATACCATGTGGTTCTTAGCTATTTTCCTTTCTTCATGAAAGATTATTTTTTATCTATAATACTGAGTGCTGAGTGTTTTTGACATTTTCAATATTCTCAAATTTTCAAACTTTACTATTTTTAAATAAGCTTTTCCATTTATTTAAATGACTTGTCTTAGAGCCCATTGATACACTTCATGTTTGTTTCTGAAATCAAGTTATATTTCTGCTACTGTGGATTTCATAGCTGTTTGACTCTTGGGCTGTTGCTTGTAATGAACAATCTTCTGCCTTTTTCTGATAACTGTTAGAATTTATGGTGGAATTTAAAATGAGCTTCTTAGCCACTTAGAGTGAAAGGTACACCAGTTTGGAAATACTGGTTTATACTTTTGGAGTAATAGAATAAGGATTAGAGAGTAATAGCAACCTGAGCCATTTCCACCCAAAATAGTACTCCTTTAACAGGCAGTCTTTGCCTGGTGGGAACTTGGTCAGACTGGCTGGTAGCACCCATCCACAGTCCTCCTTCACTTTTCCTTCCCGATGTTAAACTCTCATAAAAAGCTGTTTGTACCCCTCACTTGGTCTCAGTGCCTGCTTTCAGAGAAACAAAAAAGTACACAGCCCCTAGTATTTAAAGGCATAATTTCAGGGTCTCTGAAATGCAGGAAAGCAGATTTGTCCAACTATGGTAGGTATTTTTTCATGTTGAGAGATACTGTTTAAAAATAGAAATAAAACTAAATTCTTGAGGGCTTTATATGTTTGTGGTATGCCCTAATAGCTATGGGGATATCTAACTCATATTAATGAAATTGATACTTTTGAGAAATGTTTTGTTTAGAAGACAAGGTATAAATAGCTGAAAAATCAAGTGCACACCATCAGGGTGAAAAAAGGTCACAGCAAAAGTAATAGTTAATGTGTGGAAGAGGGAGCTCATGTGAATAAATTTTTTTTGTTTTAAATTTTAGTAATTCCCTCTAAATTAATACAGTATTCAATGATTTTAAACTCAGGACTGTCATGGTTTTACCCATGCCTGTATCTCTAGCTTCTTCTCTTCCATCCCTTGCTCCGCTTTTCCTAACAACCCACATTTAATAATCATGATAAACTATTTGCAGTTCTGGTAATATCTGTTTGTTTTACATGTGTTTTTCTTTCTGGTTGGATTGCCTTCTTTTTCTTCCTGTCTCTCTCCTACATTCTTGTAGTTGACTGCTGTTCGTCAGACCATATCCTTTTAGAAGCCATTGTTGAAATATATAACCCCTTGTAAATTGATGTATTTCTTTTTTGGCTCCTTTGCCATTGTATCTTGAGCTTATCTTTTACAGCAGTTACCATATTGTTTATTATGTGTTTTCTCCATTAGAAACACTTGGTGGACTGAAACTATGTACTTTGAAATTTAACTTTCTCTCTCCAAAGCCTACGAGGGTTCCTAGTATATAGCAGTCATGCCCATTTAAATGTTATTTAAGTAAGGTCTAAGAATGGATTGGTGAGCTTTTTAGTCTACAGATGTGGGGTAGAAAAAAAATAGTTGAGTCAGTCCTTGAACTTTGGGTAGGTTTTGGGTAAGAAGAAGGAGAATAAGTATAGGGAGAATAAGTGAGCCAGTGTAGGGAGGCAAAAAACCACATCTGAGCAGAGTTTTGTACCATCGGCATTGTTGACATTTTGTGCTGAAATTGTTGTAGTGAGCTGTCCTGTCCATTATAGACTGTTTGGCAGCATCCATGACCTCTACCCACCAGATGGCTAGTAGCAGTCCTTCAGTTATGACAACTAAGAATGTCTCTAGACATTGCTAGGTGTCCTCTGGGAGAGGAGAGGAGAGATCGCTTACTGTTGAGAACCCTTATTAGTGGAACCATTGACTAATTTGTTTGCTTACAAGATTTATATAAAGCCCAAGAATGAAAGGCTAGAGAGTTGAGTAGGACTGCATTAAAGTAACTTGAAGGTTAGGATGGGGAATTTGAGCTTGTATTAACAGAAATGCCAACTTAGTATAAGGTACTGTGCTTCTTGCCTCCCGTTTTCTACTATCAGACTCTTGCTGTATAAAGTGTGGTTCATGAACCAGCAGCATTGGTATCACTTGGGAGTTTGGGAGTTTGTTAGAAATGCAGCATTTCAGGCCCCTCCCAGACTTAATGAATGATAAGTCTCCATTTTAGCACGATAACCAAATGATTCATATTCAGAGTAAAGTTTGAGAAGCACAGCTTTCACTTTGCTTACAAAAATACTTAAGTCATAGTAGACTTGATATAGGGAGTAATGTGATGAAAGTTGTGATTTATGAAGATCAGTCTGGCGTTTTTGATGGATTGAAATGAAGAAGTCCTAAAATCACAATCCCTCAGCCATGAGGATATGAAGACTTGAAATTAATTTTCTAATTTCCGCCACTTGAGGAAAGAAGGGAACTGTTATAGAGGAATAGCTGTCAGGACTTTGTAACTGATTGGATACAAGAAGCAAGGGAGCTTTGAGCATAACAGGTTTTGAACCCTGGTAATTGAATAAGTTATGTTACTATTAATTCCAATGGGCGTGTCTGAATGAAAACCAGGTGTTGAGGTTGGGAGGCTAAGATAATGAGTTCAAGCATTTGTTTTATTGAGTTTGAGGATATATAGGCAAAAAAAATCCCAGGCAGGTATTTAGAAACTGTGGAGTTTCTGGATAATAGTATGTAACATATAAAAGTTTTTAATTAAGGGAGATGGAAAAAGTAACTGAAGGCCCAGGACCCAGTATTTATTACTGCAGAGGTAGGAAGAAACAAATGAAGAGCTCAAAAAGAGCTTTGAGAAAAACTCGAGCAAAGTAATACTACTTACATGATGAGAAGATAAAATTTTTAAGATTACTTTAGCAGCTTTTTACCACAGGGAGAATTAAGCCCTATAGCACATGATTTGAATAACCATTTTCAGTTTTCCTAAGGATGGTCCACAGCTAGTATCATTCTAAACGCATAGCCCAGAAGGTAATTCTTTACTTACAACTGATACCTTAAGGCATTAGTACTTAGTTCTTTGGGAACTGAATGTGAAGAACTACACCAAAATATCAAATTCTATAAAGTTAGTCAAAGAAAATAGGCATACAGAAATATTGAGCCTTTAGTTTACATGGTGACCTTAGAGTTTCAGTGCAGTGTTAGTGATAAAAACTAATTTAAGGGAATGTGATACAAACAAAAAATCTTTGGAAAAATTTAACGTCAATGCCCCATGGTAGAACAGTTGTTACATAGTTGATTACTTCTCTAAATGGGATAGTATATAGTTGTTAGAATTATGATTAAGAGAAATGTTGCTGCTTGAGGGGGGGGAAGCCAAAAAAAATGGGTATGCCATAATTATATCCATATAGAAACTAGAAAAAGAAATGAAGAAAAGTGGAAGAAGGTGAAAATGACTGCATTAGGATATTGTAGTTGTGGGTAATTTTTCTTTCTCCTGTTTTTCCAGTTTTTAGAGATACTGCTTTTGCTGTAAAAAAAATTCCATTGTTGAGCATGATGGAATGACAGAACTGGATTTACCCTCTTCTAAGAACAAGAAACCAGGCAAATAAGAAAGCTTTTAGTCATGGGACAATAGGCAGTGTAGGATTATGATCCCTGAAAGAAGGAAAACAAAGTGAGTTCCTCCAACGTTCTAGTTTCCTCTTTAGGCAGTTTCCAGGGTACAGCTCAGTGACAGGGATTTGAAGCAGAGAATGATGGGTTCAGAGAGTAAAAGAGACATTGGAATTCAGGGAGGACAAGTGATTAGAATTTGTGGAGGAAAATACTGGAAAGCCAAGAGCATCAGAGAGCACGCACGTTGTTTAGAGATCTACAGAAGGGTCCTCTCAAGCCTTTGGTTCAGTACTGATCTGTGTACATGGGAGAGGAACCTTTTGAGATGGGGGAAAGAACCAACAGAAAGCCTTAGATCTAACCAACAATTCTGGCATTCACACAAGGCTGGGAAAACCATGTTCTCCCCTTTGAGAATACCCATTCAGGGGGGCATTGGTAGAATCTTAAGAGGAAGTAACAGCAAAATTGCTAGACAGGGAAGGGTACAGAGAAGTTAACTAAAATATTGAGGTATATGAGAAAAGTAACTTCAGAAAGCCAGTAAAATCTACAGCCAGGAGGTTTATTCCCTTCAGAGAAGACAGAAATAATGTAATTTAAAATTGACTTTAAAATAAAATTTTAAGTTCCTCAAAGATAAAAGCTTCTATTAATGATGGCATAAGTTATTCAGACTAACTCTCCCATAGGAGGGGTGCAATATAAAATACCATTGAAAACTTCAAAGAGGTAAGACATATAGTGAGAAGTCTAACTAGAGCAAAATCTGGGAGAAGGTAAAAACAGAAATAAGCCTAGCAATGAAAGCTGCATTCAGTCTGAGGGCTTTTGAGAATTCAGAACACCTGAGATGCTAAGATTTTGAGAGCCTTGAGAAGACAGAGAAAACCTCTAAGTGTAGTTCTGCTTAATATGGGATGTCTAATAACCCTTCTTTTATTCACTATCCAAAGCTTACATTTTCAGACTAGTAGTAAACTAGAAGTAAACCAGCCTTCTTATACACTTCTAGGTTTATAATTACCTGAGTGGTCTGATTTTTTTTTTTTAAATTTTTTATGTTTTTTATTTTTGAGAGAGAGTGTGTGTGCACGCCTGAGTGTGGGAGGGGCAGAGAGATAAGGAGACACAGAATCTCAAGCAGTCTCCAGGCTCTGAGCTGTCGGCACAGAGCCTGATGTGGGGCTCGAACCCACATCCACTATTCCATGAATAGTGGAATCATGACCTGAGCTGAAGTCAAGACGCTTAACTGACTGAGCCACCCAGGCGCCCCTGAGTGGTCTGATCTTAAATTCAGGAGATCCTGGACCTGGTTAGTGATTTCAGGAGCTTGGTAGAAGAAAACTCCAATTTTTTCTGGTCTGGAAGAAAAGTACTTTATTTTAGACTTTAGATTATTTCTATCTCAATTATTCAAACACAGGCATATAGTTTGTTTGTTTATAGCCTTCCTTATTGCTGAGTAGGCAGGCATACAAGTAAAGAAGACTCCATAAGCAGCAGCCAGCACAAGTAAGACAACAGAAACAGACCTGCAAAGATATAAGATGATAGAATTATCAGACATAGACTATCAAATAGCATCACTTAACATTTGAAGAGATAAGTCAATCTATAAAATTCCTGCAGAGAAAAAGAAAATTACATAATAGTTTGCCCTGAAGTAGAGAAGTAATTTTTAGCATATAAAAGCAGTTAACCATAAAAGGTAAATAAAAACTGATAAATTTTGGTACATTTGAATTAAAAATTTCTGCTTATCAAAACACATCACTGGTCCAAAACAGTAGAGGATATTTTTACCACATCATCAAAAAAGGGTTCTCCTCCCAGATCAATAAGAAGAAGCCATTGGTTTTAATAGGGACTTTGTAGAAGAAATTCCACATGGCCTATAACCACGAAAAGACCCTTAACCTCATTCATAATGTGAGAAATTAAAAATACAGTCTCAATGATAATACCATTATATACATACAGGATTCACAAACATTGGGAAGTCAGACACTATGAACTTGTGGTGAGTCTTTGGACCAGTAGGAGCTCTAAGATCGGGAGTAATTTGGTACTTTGGAAAGCTGTTTTGGCATTATCTGGTAAAACTAAAAATAAAAATAGCAGTAGTAATTCCACTAGAAGGGATAGACTAGAGAAGCATCTGACAAATATGCCAAGGTACATGAATGAGAATGTTTCTTATAGAATTGTTTATTCTAAACAGGAAACTGCGCCAATGTCCAATGGTAAATAAACCATACAACAGTTAAAATTAATTAGGCAATTGCATGTAAATTTAAATGATCTAAAAATTAAAAGTTAAAAATGAATTCCAGAATAATAAACTAAGACAAATTGTTCTCAAATAAATTAATCTCAGGAACACAAAGGTGAGTCAAAGAAAAACTGTTACAAATATGCATATAGTCCAATACTATTCGTGTAAAGTTCAGAAATAGGTAAAATGCAACTGTTATTTAGATTTGCATGTGTTGCTTGTAGACCTATCATGAAAAGTAAACAAAAATATATTTCCAATAATGATTTTATACTTAGGCAGGTAGGTGTCAAGGTCAGGAAGAGGCATGTTGAGGGACCTGGGAAGTGCTAATGCTTGTTTTTGAATTAAGATGTATGGTGGTTACATAGATGTTTACTATAAAGTGTTCATTACGTGTGTTGTATGTACTTTTCCTATTGCTGTTTTATAGCAATACATCTTATACATAAGGAAATACATAAATATTAACATCCCTTAAGACAATTATGAAACAAAAAAATAGATATAAATCAAGAACAGATGGCACTGAAAGAACTAGTTGGACATTTTGGGGATGAAAAGAAGTTATTGAGATAAAAACTTAATATACAGAATAAACTGTAGGCTTGAGTCAAATAATTCCTGAAGTGAGACTGAGGAATTTATACAGAAAGAAGTACATAAAATTTGCTGGAAAATGTGAAGAGATAGTTACTATAATGGAAGGTAGATTGAAAGGACCTAAACATTGAGGATACTTTTCACCTGCTGAGGAGCTTTCTTATACTAGAAAAAGGTAATGGGATCTACATGCTAAGCACAACTATTATTGACATTATACTTTAACAATGTAGGTTCCATACTTGTAACTTAATTTATATTTTCTGTAAACATTTTTCCTGCAATATGAAGCAGTATATCTAAAAACTATATTCCCCCCTTTCAGAGTGATAATACTTACAGTCTCATAAGGGAAATTATGATCCAGTTTACAGGACATTTTCATATGCTAACTGGGGAGAACTCAGCAGTCGCTATAAAGAAAAATGTATACTAGGGAGAACTGTCCTCAAGATTATAAAGTTTTTCTTAGCTTCTTGTTTGTCTTGGTTTATGATCCTCTCGTTCTAAGAATCCAGTTGATGTTGGTATTATTTAAAAGTGTGCATAGATTTTATGTGCATTTGCTTCTAAATTTATGAAATATGGGTAGATATGGCTTGGAAGCATGTAAATATTAAAATATAACTAATTCTTTTTTAAAATTTAAACAGTTGAACCCACTGTAAGCCTGATAAAAGGGCCAGATTCTTTAATTGATGGCGGAAATGAAACGGTAGCAGCCATTTGTATCGCAGCCACTGGAAAACCAGTTGCACATATTGACTGGGAAGGTGATCTTGGTGAAATGGAATCCACTACAACTTCTTTTCCAAATGAAACAGCAACAATTGTCAGTCAGTACAAGCTGTTTCCAACCAGATTTGCTAGAGGAAGGCGAATTACTTGTGTTGTAAAACATCCAGCCTTGGAAAAGGACATCCGATATTCTTTCATATTAGATATACAGTGTAAGTAAATGATAACGTTTGCTTTTTAAATATATCATGCATTTTATTTTAATTTTCTTCCTTTGACATGATTCAATGTCAGACTTTTTAGTTCGAATATTTAGTATTCAGATATTCTTACAGCTTTTCCTTGTTGACCTTTTCTTTCTTCATTTTTAAAAATATGTTCATGGAAATTTTATGTAACCAGAACATTTTTTATTAGTTTGTAAAGATGGAGAGTGACTTTAAAGTTGCTTTCCAACTTAAAATTATTTAATCTTATCCTTTTTAGACCGGACTTAAGCAAATTGTGGGAATATTTATACCTCAAAATGTGCAATACTTCAAGATAAACTTCTCCAATCCAGTTACTTTAGTTATTGTTTTTCAGTTTTATTCATACTACCCATGATGTTTTCAGCAAAAATCTTTCATTGCCTAGGTGCATTTTATTTGTGTGAAAACCTGTGTGTTTCACTACTGCTTTTTTTTACATCTGATTTTATTGATCATGTTATAGAGTAAGATGGTATTTTAAAGACATCATTGAGATCATAACCATTGTAGATAAGTTCAAAGCTTGCCCATCTTGTATTTTTATTTTTTTGTTAAGGGATGCTCCCTTGTGTGTAAAGTTTGTATATGTGTATATATATGTGTGTATACTTTTTCCTGTACATTTTCTCAGTTGGTATGTTCTTTATGTAGCATTTAAAAATTTTGAGCAGAAGAAAAAGTAATAATGCAGCTAGCTTATAACAAGGAAAATGAATAGGTGCTGTTACAGTTTTCATTCTTAGTGTTTTGTTTTTGATATGATGTGTGGAATTTTAAATTGTACATACTCATTACACTTTGTGTAATGGTTTCTAAAGCTAATTCTAAGAATCTTTTTCAACATTTATAGGGTTGAACTTGGGAACTTAATCTTATGTGAATGTTATTACCATTTTATTCTGGAGTGCAGATACCTTCTTTTCACTTCTCTGGAGAATCCAATTAAAATTTCTCTTTTTCCTTTTCCTACCTTACTTTCACAGACTTAACTTTTTCCTTTTTCTTGTAAAATTCAGATCCCAATTGTAAGTACTATTAATATTTTCCTCATATATATTTTGTCCTTCCTTGTATTTAGTAATGACTGAAATTTTTCTTCAGTTTGTATTACGTATGTTATTCTTTTTTGGTTGGTATTTGCTTGAATGCAATCCTAAATATAAAAAAATATTTCTTTTAATGTAAGGCATATAATTATGGCTTAGATTTATTGACTTGTTCTTTAAATGTTAGAATACTCATGAGTTTTTTCTTTAAGTGAGACCTATAAAACATGTGAACAAAATTTAAAGAGATAAAATTTTATATCCAGAATTCATATAAAAGTTTGGAGGTATTCTTTGGGAATACCTTGCTTAGTACTTGTTCCTTCCTCTTATTAAAAGAAAGTAAACACACAGATATCTGTACTGTTCTTTCAGTAACATTTTGTAGTACCAATTTTAAGTTATAAAAATGTTTGTTAATTCTGGTATTTATGAGGCAGGCATTTCGTTCTTAAAATTACTAAGGTAGTTAATTGTTCCTTAGTAAAGGTTTAATTTTTTACCACATTTTTTGTAAACCTTGGTTGATAGTAGATCAAGTTTCCCTGGCAGAATTAAACTGACCTAGTCTGTAACTTCCCACCTGGTCATGTACTATTTATCTAGTTTACTGCATAACTCACAGCAGGCCCCTGTACCATGCATAAGTGATATTTCCCTAAGAAGCCTTTCATGATCTTTCTCAGCCCCATCCCCAATCTAAATTAAGCCTTTCTTATCTTCTATGTATTATCCTGTTCTTTTCTTTCTTGGCTCTCATAACAGGTTTTTAATACTTTTAAATTATTCTCTTCCTTATTAAAAGCTATTAGAAAATAAATATTATGAATACAGAGTCTATATGTATACCAAATGCCTGAAACAGTTCCTGCCCTTATTAGGAGTTAGACAATATGATGGTTGAATGAATGGTTAGTATTGGATTGTATAGTTGGAAGGCATAAATTTATATTGCTGGTAGATAGGGATAATTGCTCATTTAACTAATTATATTGCACATGTACCAAAGGATGTTTGGGTGCAATGGATAAAATGTCATGTTTTAGAACAGTTGAGGCCATAGATAACTTACTTTAGTTTTAATTTTAGCCTTAGAAAGTTTGTGTCACATCCCATCTCAACTTACCCATAGAATATTAGTTGCTTATAATACAGAGAATTTAATCTCTGTGATTGGTTTTGTATCTCTTAGGGGTTATTTTCTTTCAGATCAAACATTTTTTTAAAACAGTTGTATATGGTGACTTGGTATTTAAATGCCATTTCTCATCAAATTAGGTAGTATAATGTATTTCCTTTGTTCATATATCTTTGTTTCTCATAATAGAACTCTTAAATTTTGTTCTTGGTGATTATAGGTTTGTGAATATTCTTACATTCAGTGTCCATAATAACTAGAACTGTATACATGCTTATAGTTGCCTAGGGTTTGGGTACTCATTGTACATTCAGGCACTCATTCTTTCAGTCTACTAATATTTATTAACTACTGTCTTCCACAGTCTGTTATGTTAATGCCTTGTCATTTTATATTGCATTTATCATTAACAAAAGATAATTTGTCCTGTTATGCATTTATTTTATAGATGCTCCTGAGGTTTCAGTAACAGGCTATGATGGGAATTGGTTTGTAGGAAGAAAAGGTGTTAATCTCAAGTGTAATGCTGATGCAAATCCACCACCCTTCAAATCTGTGTGGAGCAGGTAATAATATCAGATACTTCTAAAGAGAAATTATTTAAAAGTAAAAAATATTCTTAAATGCATAATTAATTTTTTTATCCGTGTAATACATGATCATAGTAATAGTTGAAAATTAAATTGTTTCTGAGTGTTCTCCTGTCCCACCTCCATACCCTACCTGCTGTTCTGTTTCTCAGAGGCTACTTTTTAGCAATTCCTTCTGGTAGTTACCATCATATGTTGTAAATTGCTACTTTTTTTTTTTTTTTGCTACTTCATAATAGTATTTATTGCCTACTATTGTGGCAGATGAAAATTTAATTTTATATCTACCCCTTCACACACAAACATACCTATATATGTAACCCTACCTTTATAAGTCCCAGTGAAATTCAGCTATTTTTAGTTAAACTCCGTAATCATTGTTTGCCTCCCTATGACAAGTAAATACTGTTTGCTGACAACTTAGTAGTATACCAGAATTCTGTTTTCTTTCATCTAAGATCTTTGTTTTTCCTGAAGCTAATCATTCTTAGCCTAAAAGAATATTCTTAATTCTCTTTATCTGTGAAATTTCAAACTGTTAATACTAAGGTTTTCATTTATATTTCTCAGTATTTGGGGCTCCCCTTTAGTCTTGAGACTTCTGTTAACTATGTATAATTTTCCCTTTTTTTTTTTTTTTTCCTGTTATTTCCCCCTCTTTTTTTTTTNTTAATACTAAGGTTTTCATTTATATTTCTCAGTATTTGGGGCTCCCCTTTAGTCTTGAGACTTCTGTTAACTATGTATAATTTTCCCTTTTTTTTTTTTTTTCCTGATAATTCCCCCTCCTTTTTTTTTTGGTTTGCATTTACCAGACCTATTTATTGTATATTAAATATCCTTTCTTATTTTCAAACAGTTTTTTGTTTTTCCTAGATTTCCTTGATTTTTTCCCCCCAATTGACTTACTGATGTAAAACATTCTGGGGGTGACTTTCTTCTTTCTCTGTTCCTTTCATAGCATTTATTTTATGGATATAATGTCTTCTTGTTTTTTCCCAGGAATACAGTACGAAAGTTATTTCCTCAGAGAGTTTTTTCTGCTTCCTGCTTATTGTCTGTTTTTTTCTTCAAGTTCTTTTGTTTTTTGTTTTGCCTTTATTTAGTAGATATTCCTTAATTTTCTCAGCTTTCTAGTCGTTTTAGGGTGATGTATTAAAATAAAATGCCCGGAAACTCTGTCTTTAGAGTGGGGATTGAATACTCATTAGTAGATTCCATTTAGAGTGATCAGATAGAGAGAATTCTTTCCCTAGAGAAGCTTCATTCAGATGTCACTTAGGAAGAGGGAAAGCCTTTTTTCATAGCCGTTCAGTTTTTTTTTTTTTTTAATATTTCTAAATCAAGAGTGTCTAGCATCTGTACAGAGTTGAGAGAGGAGTCTGTTGTTTTTTCAGCTTTCAACTAATCTCCTTAATTCCTAGCCCTCTGCTTCACTGTGGCTTTCTGTAGTACAGTGATTCAAACTCCAAATCTTGAGTTCTTTGGAGCAGTTTGACTGCCTTCCCATTCATATGCCTCCTGGAAGCACTTCTTCAGCCCAAAGTGGAGCATTTCAGCCTTGGCACTGTTGACATTTGGGGCTGGATAAATCTTTCTTTTGGAAGGGAGTTCTGTGAATTGCAGGATGTTTAGCCGCATCTCTGGCCTCAAACCATCACCCCCACCCCCAACCCTATAATCTCCAGACATGCCAGTTGTCCCCCGGGGACAAAATCAATCCTGATTGAGTGGCTTAAAGCATGTATTTTCGCCATTACTTTTCCATCTTCTAAAAGTTTGTTGAAACATCTTGTCTGATGAATTGTGCCTCCTGTTCTGTTTCTCCTTGTGGGTTTTTAATAGCTTTCAATTCCTTTACCCTTGTTTTAGGTGGAATTTTGTGGGAGCAAAGAAACATATTTGGTTAATCTGTTGTCTTTAAGCAAAGGTACAGTTTTAAAGTAGAGAAGGTTTTTTTCATTTACATTTTCTTAAAAGTGGGAAGCAGTCATTGATTAAGATGTGTGATAGATTATTTCTAAATGTCATACAATTCTGAGTTCCCTTCCTAGTGTGTGTACTTGGAGATTCTTTTTGAGTATGATGCCTAACCTCTCTAATTCTTTGTTTCTTCACCTATAGAAGTATGTCATAGAGTTGTGAGTGTAGAGACAATGAATATAAATGAAGTAGTGTAAGTGAAAGATTATAGAAAGTGCTTAGCATGTCATTTGCTGTGAGTTTAATGTGATACTTAGATTTTTATGACTGTGACTTATTTGAATAAGCAACTTTAAAGGATTATAAGCTATTTTTCTATTTCTCAGAATTAAAGGGATTAGAATTTGGGCCTCAAAGTGTAGAGAGGTAATTGGTAAGGTTTATATACTCCATATTCATTCTCACCCTCCTAGGAAAATTCACCTTTTGAAAGCGTGTGCTTGTACTAATGTTGTTTTCAGAGTCTTCATAGAAGAGGTTGGGTGTTTCTATTTTTTAAAAAGCCATGTAAGAATATTATCTTTTTTCTTCAGTGCTAAATTAAGGTTCCAGCACCGTAAAAGATTTTGATTGTTCTTTTACATACTATCCTTGGATTTGCAGAACAAAATCATTCCTCCTGTGGTACAGTGTTGGTTTTGTTTCTTTCTACTTTTTTATTATTTTTAAATTTTTATTCCCTTTGTAATTAGTTGTTGGTCTTCTACTGCATAGTTAGATCATTGAAAGCAAGAAACTGATCTAGTTTACTTGTGAATCTCAGCAACAGTAGCAGAGTAGGGTATGATTAGTAGTAAGCTACTGGTAATTAAATAATGGATGGCCAAATGAATGAATGGACGTTTTGAAAATCTACTTAACTCAAACCGTAATACTTGAGTGCCTGGTGTAATTGACTTTTTGTCCTCTTTAAAAAAAAAATTACTCATGGGCTTTAGAAAAAATTTAAAAATAAATACCTCTTGGTGTGTTTTTTGGTACCCAAAGGTTGGCAATATGATGTATAACTGTACACTTAATTCCATTGCAATGAATGGCTTTAGAATTGTAGTGGGATTTTATTCTTATTGTGGTTTATGCTAATGTAGGATAGGACCTCTTAGCCAAATTAGTATAGACATACTAATTTATTAACAATTTAAAAAATTGTTATTGATGCCAAATGGTGTCTTGGTTTTTACTGTCACAGATCCTCACCTTAAAATTGAGATTATTTTATAAAGAAGACCTTTTTGTTGCTTTAGAAACTAATGCTCTTTGGATAGAGCACAGTCTAATTTTGCTCAGTATGAAATCTGTTATAGAAGGTGCTAAAATGTACTTAAATGATACAGCTCTTCATTAAGAAATTTATAGATATATCATGAATAGATCTGTGCACTGAGAATTATTTGTAATTCCTTTGATACTGTATGTCTCCAAATAATATATTTTTCTAATTTTCCTGTTTTCTGAATTTGAGTCTTTAAGATCACATAATTTTTTTTCCTCTACTTCTTTCTCATTTTAATATGTTGGCCTACTTCCACTTCTATCATTTGGTATTGTGAAAGAATGGTTATTTTTTCTTTTTTTTTCCTGAAAGAATGAGTATTCTTAATAGATTTTGTCTGTTCATTTTTGTTGACAATTCACATCTTATATACTTTCATTTCATAGTGAATTTTACCTAAAGGATGCCATTTCTTCCACTAACATCTCAAATGTGTGATATCTTATTTAAATAGCTGTCAGTGAATAAAATCTGAAGATACATAAAATAATTTCATGCTTTTTAAAATCTAGGTTGGATGGACAGTGGCCTGATGGTTTATTGGCTTCAGACAATACTCTTCATTTTGTCCATCCATTGACTTTCAATTATTCTGGTGTTTATGTCTGTAAAGTGACCAATTCCCTTGGTCAAAGGAGTGATCAAAAGGTCATCTACATTTCAGGTAAGTTACTGTCTACTGGCAAAATGAGTTAATTAAATTATTCCTTTAACAGTAGTCATAATAACACTGTGTTCTAGATGGTAATTTATACTTGGCTAAGATACACATTCTGCAATGTGAGGTTTTCCAAATAATCTAAAAGAGATATAATGAAGGAGCCCTACCTGAAACATGTATAAAAAGTGGCATACATAGAAGTGTCAAAATGTCTATGCAATAAGCTTGTACACATTTTAAGACCTTTGCATGTAGTTACTTTTCCAGTTATAGTATTAAGTATTCCTTTTGTAGGTGGTGTGTACCTTTCTAGGTTTTCTCATCTTTACACCGAGAACATCTTTACACTGGGTTTATTTGTTTTTGGTGGCTACTCTGAACACAAGTGGTCTCATCAATAAAATGGGATGTTGAATTTGACCTGGCTTATTAAACAACATGTTTTGTCATTCAGTATGAAACTATATCGTCTTGGATTACTGAGAGGTTAAGTAGGAATGCTATTGAAAATGTGCTAATAAAATAAAATTTATTTAAGATATTTATTATTACCAATTTGTTTTACTGTGAACGTTTTTGTTAATTTGAATATATAAATTTGGGTACTCACAAAATACCATTAGAGCTAGAAATACGTTTTTCATGGGTGTGGCTGTAACAAATTATCAATGGAATGCTCATTTATAAAAATTTTATAAGATATTTTGAGCATCTCCTTGTTGACTATGAGAATATAGCAATCTTCATGTCTAAAAGATGGAAAAGGGAAAAGGAAGAGAACTTTGAGTAAAGCAGGTTTGTATGGTAATTATGTAATGGATAGTTAAGGTTTTTATCTCTGTTCTGATCTAAAACTAAGTAAGTTAGAGAAATTTTAAGCTTGCTTTAATGTTATATTCTTCATCTTTGTATGATCACTCAATCTAGGAACAGTCCCTCATATTATTTTCTCTTAGCATCTCCCACAATTTGTAGTTTTATGCATACTTGTGTACTCATTATCCACCCTCACATTTAAGCATGTTGCATTTGCCTCATTTACCTTTGAATCCGCAGCACTTAGTGCCTGGCACATGATAGGCATGATGCAAATATACTTCTGCATGAGTCTCACAAGAAGCTTAGAGCTGTGTACATCTCTGGCTAGCTAGCTCTTTCTGCCAGCAGCAGTGCTTTGGTGGAAATCAGATTGAGATTAAATATTAGTTTATTAGTCTCCCTTTCTTTTCCTTAAAGGTTTTTTTTTTTTTTTTTTTTTAAGGTTCTTAAAGCTATAGGGAATGCATATTTAAAATGCAGTTACCAGAGGACTGCTTACTTTTTGTTTCTGTTGTATAGTTAGGTATGGGATATTATATGTAAATCTCAGACTCTATGTATTATTATGTAATCATTTAAATATTGAGGCTTAATTTGGGCATTCTTATATATATGATTCCGTTGATAATACCCTAAGTTTGTATTTTTTGGCATTCTGGATCCACTTCTCAGTACTTTTGACTTACGTGTTCAACTGCCTATTAAAGATCACTGACTCTTTGTAGAAATATAATAGGCATTTATGGCCTAACATTCAAAACTGAGGTCCTGATCTTATGCCTCTTGCCATTGCCCTCTTTCTCTAACAGTCTCCCTCCTTTCTTCTGTCATTGGTAACTCCATCCTTAGCTTTGCTCAGGGTTTAATCCTTGATGCTTATTCTTGATTTCAGTTCTCTCATATCCCACCCAGTCCATCAACAGGTCCATAGCAATATGGACCTGTCTTCCAATATGTTATATGCAGAACCTTATATTTCTCCACTTTTACTGTGAGTATTCTGACCCAAGCCATCAGGAACCCTTACTCCACTATTTTTTTTAAATGTTTATTGTTTTGAGAGACAGAGTGTGTGTGTGGGGGGGGGGGGGGGGGGGGGGGGGGGGGGGGGGGGGGGAGAGCAGAGAGGGAGAGAGAATTCCAAGCAGGGTTTATGCAGTCAGTGTAGAGCCCAGTGCAGAGCTTGATCCCATGAACCATGAGGTCATGACCTGAGCTGAAATCAAGAGTCGGGTACTTAACCGACAGAGCCACTCAGGTGCCCCAGCCCTTACTTTAGTATTAAAACAGCCATTTAATCTTCCTACTTTTAATTTATCCTCAAAAGAGCAGCCAGAATGACACTTAATAAAGGGCATGTCACATCATGTCACTTCTCTCTTACAAACCTTTTGTAGACTTCTCATTTTACCCTTAATTAAAACCAAATCTTGCAGTGACTATATTATAAGGGTCTGTACATACTCTGGTCCTAGTTATCTCTCTGACTTCATCTCTTTTTATATCTCTTGTTCACTTGGCCTTGTTGCTGGCTTCCTTGCTGTTCTTTGAATACAACAGGTACATTGCCGGTACATTGCCACCTCAGAGTCTTTGACTTGTTGCTTATGGGAAAGATTTTTAGATATCCTTAGAGCTCTTTCCTTCACTTTCTTTAGGTCTTTGCTCAAGTATCGCCTTTATAACTATATTTAAAATTGAAAATTGGAACTTTTTTCTCACCTCTTTACTACTTTGTCTCCACCTTACTTTTCTCTCAGTATTTATTGCCACATGAATGTTCATACTTTATTAATATGCTGTTTTTACTTCTTTTAGAATATAAGTCCTGTCATCTGCTTTAATCACTACCTATCTCCACCATCTCCAATAATATTTGGCGTGTGTTAGGTGGTTAATAAACTTTTCTTGCATGAATGAAAAAATTTGTTTGAGAAGAAAACTGTCAGGAAAGAATTATAACTCCAGAATGTGCTTTTATGTATCTTTTTTTTCTTTGACAAGGGAAAGAACACAATGATGGTGATAAACTTCACACATCTTTTGATCAACATCTTCTCAGTCCCATAAAAGGGGAAATAAAATTTTGAGTAAATATGAAAAATCAATTAATTACTGCTAAGTACTTCAGAAAGATAGCATTATGAGATGATTTTCTTTAAGTCATCATCAAGAATTAGACTTTACTTTTCTATCCAGAGTCTTTAATATTTAATACAGTATACTATGTTGAGTTTAGTTAATTTTGCTGAGAGCTTCTTGGAGAATATTAAGTATCCTAGATATAATACTGCCTTCCAAAATGACTAGTAAAGCCTAGTGGGCTTTTATCAGAATAAAAAGCCATAATTCACCCAGAGTGAAAATCAAGTTGTTGGGCTTTATTGTTGGAAGTTCCATAAATCCTTTTTCCTCTAGGAAGAAAACATTTTATTTATTAAAATAAAATTAAAATCATCTCAGAAATAATTTTTTAAAATATTTGTAAAAGGAACATATGACTGGAGATTAAAAGATCTACTCAGAACAGAGTAGAGTTAGCAACTCTGTTTGAGGGGAATTGTAATTTTCTAATACATTTTTTCCACATTGCTAAGTTTAAGATTTTGGAAAACGTGATTGATCCAAGATTGCAATATTCAACTTCAGTTATTCCTCATGGAGTTACAGTGAATCTTTGTACAGTACTAACTGACTGCTGGAAATTATGTTGTTTTAGTTGTTTTTGGTGTGTGTTTTTCCCTGATATTTCTTAATTCTCTTTTAAGACTAGAGGAGCAAAATTTTATGTATCACATACATTCCCCCACACCTGAAACTCAAAGTATATTGCTATGCAAATCTTGACTTTTGAATCCTGTTGATTTTAGGAACGAGGCATAATATCTAGCATAATCCACACCTAATTAGCAGTCTTTAAACTTTAAAATTCCTAGATTTTGTTTAAACAATTCATATGAAGTGTAAAAGAAACAAGAAATCAATTCTTTTTACCATGGTGATTATTAGGCTAAAAGATGCTTTATAGCTGCGGAGGCCTTACCTGGACTATTTGTTTTCCTCTCTGGCAGAACTCATTAATTTGAAAAAGGAATTTCTCGGGGCGCCTGGGTGGCTTAGTCGGTTAAGCGTCCGACTTTCGCTTAGGTCATGATCTCGCGGTTCGTGGGTTCGAGCCCCGCGTCAGGCTCTGTGCTGACTGCCAGCTCGGAGCCTGGAGCCTGTTTCAGTCTGTGATTTCCTCTCTCTCTGACCCTCCCCTGCTCACGCTGTCTCTCTCTCTCTCCTAGAAATAAATAAAACGTTAAAAAAAAAACAACAAAAACTGATATTTCTCTAATTATTAGAATGGATAGGAAAGGACAGTAAAGGCATTGACTAGCTTATATGTCTACAAATGTGAGTATACTTTTCTGCAGATCAGNCCTCTCTCTCTGACCCTCCCCTGCTCCCGCTGTCTCTCTCTCTCTCTCTCCTAGAAATAAATAAAACATAAAAAAATTAAAAAAAAAAAAAGGAATTTCTTCATTTGACTGTAGAGAACTCAGAGTCTCTACTAGTTGATTACATTTGTTATATGCTCGCTTATCACATATTCTACAAATAATATCAAAAAACAGTGTCCGAAAAAATAAGGAATGCTGTTGGAAAAGATTTTAAACTATGATATATAAGTAGCTCTTCGTGATGACACAATAGTCCTTTTGTTTCCTTATGCAAATTCTTTCATTGTAATGATCTTGGAGCAGGGCAAGAATTAGAAAGCATGAATAAATGTTTTGGGTGCACTGTCATATGTCCATTGCTTAAAATGCAAAATAAGTATTAACAACAGCCCCTTTTTCATGGAATCATATTAATAGTGAAGCTGTGCTGTTTTTAGCAGTGGTTAAGGACGGGGTGGCAGGCTAAAATATTTTTAGAACCACTGACAAAATTAAATAAGATTTTTAAATAGGGTGTTGTTGTTACTCTTTTTTTTTTAGTTAGAATTTCTGAAAGCTGTGTATTGTTAAATCTCAGTTAAGTAGTAGTCATCCATCTGTGTTTACACAAAGAATGTTGCCAGTAGAAGTAAATGTCAGTGATATTTTTAAGGATACTTAGTAAAAATAATAAGTTATATATATCTGTACTTGGTGAGAGCTCAGGTGTATGCACTGTTCTGAGAAAAGTAGCATTTCATTAAGACCTGTCAAAAATTTAAAATCTTATGTGCACAAAAATGTGTGAATTATAAATAATTTTTTAGGTGATTTGTACTTCTGTTTAAACCTGCCGATGCCAGTTGATTGTACTTTTTCTTTTGCTTTCACTATTACAAAGTGGACATTTATTATTTAAAACTTACTTTTCCATTAGTCTTAGCCCCTCAGATGAGTTGTCTTACAAATGATTAATTTTTAATTAATTAATTTAAAAAAATTTTAAATATCCTGGTTCTGTGAGGTTGCATTGTATGATAGGAGGCTTTACTACTTTTATATTAGAAATGATTTTATAGTTCCACAGTATTTTTTAGGATTGAGTTTGTTCAGCTAGTGAATAATATGTTCCTACAAATTAAAATTCCTCCTTGATTTACTTACATAGAATATGATGGCTAGTATTCACTTCAAAGCACTTGACAGGATTGCCTATTCTATTGGTTTAAACTCTTAGGAAATTAGTTATACTGTACTTTTAAGTTTTATATTGTACTTGCTAAATTTTTACCACATTCTGTACATATGGCATTCCGTGATGAAACCTGTTTCAGTAAGTATTTTTCTTTAGCTTGTAATTTTAGTATAACTTACCCCATGTAGATTTAGTGTTTTTCTAACAGTCATTTTTTAAAAAGCTCTTTCAGTACCACTCATTTAAAAATTAATTATAGGAGATTACCATTCGGGTCATTTGTTTTTATCAAAGAAGAAATTCAAGATTTTTTAACTCATCCTTTCTTCAAACTCTAGAGTTTTGTATAACATGACCTACAAATACCACTTAATTGATAATTAACCAATCTTTAATTTTTACTATTTATGTTTAGTTGCTTTTTAATATTAATGGCTATTTACTCTGTAATCTAATGGCAGTACACAGGATCATTTGCATCTAATATTTGAGTATTATTAGAATGTTCTCTCTAAAATATTAGCTACTCTTTGATACTTTGTACTAAAGTGATCTGACAATAAATTCTACAGATATGGTTGAAATCCTTCAATTTCCTAAATGTGCAGATATCTTACCCATGGGATATAGACATGGCGATGAAATTTTTATAATACTTTATAACATGTTTTTACTTTGTCTTTGTTAGTTTCGTTTGATAATATAGCCCATTTGGCTAACACAGTTTAAACGTATGCTTTTTATTTTTAAATTACTAAATAATGATATGTACTACATATGTGCTTTCTAAAAATTCAAAGTTCTCTTTACTCAAGGAAAATATTTTTGAGAGAATTATTAAACCAACAGCTTATACTATGGCCACTTAACAAGAATCTATAGTTTTTCATTCTTTTAAAGATAAGTTCAGATCTTACAAAAATAAACAAAATTAGGTAAAGATAGATAAAAACAAAACATACTTTAATTTTTTATTCTTTCGTTTTATTTCTTTGTTCTTCTGGCTAAGAAAATGTACATTTGGATTACTTAATTTTTTGGTATGATAATTCTTAAGCCAGCTGTTTATAGGACATTTAAGTAATACTCTTTAAAAAAAAGAAAGTATTCCTTGGAGTACAATGTCATGCTAAAACTTGGAATAGAATAATTTAGGATTTACATCGTAGGCCATTTTTTATTCCTTTTACTTCATTGGTAACTGACTGTACGTCAGTTTTGTTATTTTTTAAAAATATGTAAGTACCACCACATTCTGATCTTAAGAATGAAAAACTATTATTACTATGAATATATATTCATTAACTGTGCAGTCTTTTCAACTTGCTGCCAAACCAGCCTGCATTGACATTCTTTGCCTTTCTGTGTCTTGTCTATCTTTACTGTTTCCATTAGATCCTCCTACTACTACCACCCTTCAGCCTACAGTTCAGTGGCATCCCTCAACTGCTGACATCGAGGATCTAGCAACAGAACCAAAAAAATTGCCCTTCCCATTGTCAACTTTGGCAACAATTAAGGATGACACAATTGGCACAATCATTGCTAGTGTAGTGGGTGGGGCTCTCTTCATAGTACTTGTAAGTGTTTTGGCTGGAATATTCTGCTATAGGAGAAGACGGACGTTTCGTGGAGACTACTTTGCCAAGAACTACATTCCACCATCAGATATGCAAAAAGAATCACAAATAGATGTTCTTCAACAAGATGAGCTTGATTCTTACCCAGACAGTGTGAAAAAAGAAAACAAGAATCCAGTGAACAATCTAATACGGAAAGACTATTTAGAAGAGACTGAAAAAACGCAGTGGAACAATGTAGAAAATCTCAGTAGGTTTGAAAGACCAATGGATTATTATGAAGATCTAAAAATGGGAATGAAGTTCGTCAGTGATGAACATTATGACGACAATGAAGATGACTTAGTTTCCCATGTAGATGGTTCCGTAATTTCCAGGAGGGAGTGGTATGTTTAGCAACCACTAAATGTGACTTACCTATATACAATGTTTCATTCATACTAGTTGATCATTTTCAGATTGTTCATACTTTTTCTTGAGGAAGAATAAGCTTTTTCAACTTGATTTTCAAGCTTACTTTTTATATTCTAATTTGACAAATGAAACTGTAAAATCTGGGTTCAATGTATCTGAGCTGCTTTACAATTTTTTTTCAATGCTGTACTACTGTCTCAAGATTTAAATTTTAATGCAGAGTACTTTATTGGTCTGAGGCACACAGGTAAGAAGAAATGTCAACATTAAATGTATGACTTTTTTTGGTACAAAAATTAAAAAGGAAAAAAAAAAAGGAAACTACCTTGGCATTGTGTATTAAATGTTTACCTAAGACTATAATCTCAAGTATAATGTTTGTTAAACATATACCTCTCAAAATTTATCACCACTAAATGACACTACATGAAAATCGACTATAAAACTAATTCAAGAAATGTTTATATATATTTTTAGTATACAAAAAAGTATTCAGCCTGACAAACATCTTTCCTTTTCAAACATTGTTTTCTAAGTTTCTATATAAATGGAATCTTTACCTCTGCATTTTAATGAGCCTTGCCATAATTACTGTAGAGTGGCTTTTCAAAGGTATTTTGTTGCACTAAAACTGTGGTAGTAAACTCAGTGAACATGCTGTGTGGAAGAGCCTAATTAGCTGGTCAGTATTTTTGTCTAAAATACATACAAAAGTCTTAATAAAAACATGCCTTCTAAACATAATTATTACATTTTTTTTTCATCTCTAGAGGACAATACTTACGGTTTCGTATGAACATGGATTTTGGTACATTAAGTGGCATACATAGTTTTGTTTGAATGCTTTATGTCCTAAATATAAGAATAATGAAAAGATGGTACACAATTGAGTATAGTTCAGAGAGAGCATTTAAGTATATGGAAAAATGTGAGCAAGTTAGCATTGGAGTACAGTTTTTAGAAATGAGATATGTCAGCCAAAAATCTATACAAAGAATTTTCTAGCCCATCTTGTCTTAGTTACCTAATAGTGAATGTTGTTCAAACGGGTAAATATACAGAAAAATTAGAATAAACTTGTAAATTTGAGGTTTAATGAGAAAAATCTGAATTATAGAACCACTCACTAGCGCTTGCTGATGTATATTGGCAGATCATCTCCGTTTTCCTCCTAAATGTATGTGTTTGTTTCAAGATTTTTGTTTTTCCAATTAAAACTGGAAACATCATAAACATCATAAGGTTTTTTTGTTTTGTTTTTGTTTTTTCCATAATTCATTAAGTATATTCTTTCCAAAAATCATGTATCTTTTGAAAAAGAAATGTTATCTAAATCTTCAAATGTGGGTTTCTTTGTGAGATAATTAAATTGCTTCTACAGTGGAGTCCTACAAAATTGTAATGATGACAACTATTTTGAAGCCCAAAGAATATGTTGTTTTCTGTTGATGATTCATTTGAAAAAAGGACTGTGTAGAATTGCCTTAGGTATTTTGCCAGGAATTGAAGTGGTTAGTAGTAGGAGAATCATAAATAAATTATTTTGTTAATAAAAAGGCAAAGTAGGTACTTTTTTTTTTTAACCCCCCAACCACTCCACTCCTGATGTTCCTCTTTGAGTCTAAAGGAATGTTTTATAAGACACAATTCTAACATGTTCTTGCAAGTAGTCAAGGCTGTATTCTAAACAATTATAACATAATTTCCTTTCTTTAGACTATCAGTATTTTGTGGAAATTAGAAACCTTTTATTTCTCTTCCCTCTTACACAGTTAGTATAAGATTGTAATATCAGCGAAGGACACAGGTAAGCTCACTGATAATCTTGTTAAAAATATATGGTTTTAATATAATTAACCACTTACATACAAATATTAAGACTCTTTGGTCCAAGTCATTGGAAGCAAAATTTTATTGATAATACCCTGTGGTTAAAGTGGACTTTATTTTTTAATTTAAATACCAGCACTCGTATGGCCACAAGAAGAATGTATCTAAAATTTCTTGCCATAGAAGATAAGAAGTTGTGGCTTTTTTGTTCACAATTTCATCTTTAGAACTATGGTTTGAAATGCTATATGAATCTGAGCAGAATAATCACTGTATAATCTCATTGGCTCTGGAGTATTATCTGAAGGAAATATATTTTGCAACTGTACTGCAAAAATTTAAATATCTACTTAGTGATTATGACCTCCCTTTTATATTGTGGCCATTATGTGTTTATGGTGGGGTTGTTTTGTTCTGTTTTTTGATGGGAGAAGGTGACCTGGAAAACAGCAAGCAAGTGAATGTTTGATACCTTCTCTATCCTTAATATAAATCATCTGACACACTAAGATTTCAAAATGTTAAGAATCTGGTACTAGTTAAGACTTTCTGAAGCATTGCACTGCTGTTTATTAGAACTTTATGTTTGTTTACTGTACATACTTATTTGTGAACATGAATAGTCATATTAAATAAACTTTCGTTAAATTAAGTTTTAGATGTCAGTGATATACACAGCTAATTGATAAGTGCATAAGAAAATCCTTATTTTTTTTGGAAAAGATGGGAGAATGTTTTACTTTATTTTGACGATGTTTATATTTGTTTTTTTATTCTTTGAACTGACTTTTCATTTTTGTATTCACTTTAGGGTTTTCCTTCACACTGGTTAAAATGTTTCAGTAATGCAGGGATGATGAATGCAACTTTTATTTTGTCCTGCCATTTTTATAAAAATATATTAAAACTTTAATAGGCTAGGGGTTAACTTTAAAAGTTACACTTGAGAGGTACATTATAGTTGAAATATTTAGTATTTTACCATGTGCCTAAAAGGTTTCTATTTGAGAAGTGTAACATTAAAGAAACCATTAAGGTTTTTCAGTAGTAAGTATTGCTTCTGATAGCCATATATAGGAATGTTTTCTAGTGATAACCCTAGCTAAATGTTTAGCAGAAGGGCTTGTAGGAAGTACAATGTATGAGTGAAAAATTGAGATAAATATAACACTTTCATACATGAAAACGTCTGATTTGAGGTTGATGTTGCTTTGATAAATACTAATGGCATATGAACAAGAAGTTGTGAATGTGTGGAAGTATCGTGTAAAATATAAGAAAGGAAAAAATGATCAGTATATTGAATTTTTAATTCTAATAGAGGAATGATTTACAGATTTAATTGTTCTTTCTGTTTGCTTGTTAATTGGAAATGTATCACCCCAAAGAATATGCTCCTTTCTCAAATTTTTGGTATATGGGGTTTGGATTTAATTTTAATTTGATTTGTACCAGTGGTTTTTGTTTTTTTGTTTTTTTTACCAAGTTATTTATCAGGTGGTAGCCCCTAATAGCCATGCAACAAATCTTTAAATAAAAGTTTTTAAAAAATTCTTTAGAGGCATATTTCTATAACAAGCCTATGTCTCTGTATTACCTTCTTTGTCCTTGTTATATTCCCTGCTGCAGACTGTGTGTGTATGTGTGTGTGTGTGTGTGTGTGTGTTGTGTGTTGCGTGTAACCGAATTTCATATATTTAATTATAATGAAGTTTTTGTGGGAATTCAAAACCTCTTTTTTTATTCCTCTTCTCAAACAAGGATACAGTTAAAATTTGAGAGAGCATCTAAGTTGGTAGGTTAGCCATTACACTATTTATTTTTAATTGACCACTTAATTCCTATTTTCTATATACACATGAACAACATTCTCTAGAATCATGAATTATCTGTCTCTCTAGCTTAGCAGTGAAAACAAATTTTGAATGTTTTTGCTGCAAACTTGACATAAGTTTAAATTTTATATATTGGCTTTCCATTTGGAATGAACATATTTCTTGAGATTATTTTAGGTTGGCATTTAGTGCTTTTCACTTATTACTGCTTTCATTATAAATGCCATTGTTTCTAATTGTAATCACCTCCCTGTTTTCTATCTCTGATGTTTAAAGTAATACTTGTTCTCCTAAACTTTAAATTGTTTAAGGCAAGCAGCAGTTGTGTTGCTTTGTTTTTATTTCTAAGTAGCATACAGTTTGGATTAGGTTTGGTTTCCTTCTTGTTACACTAATGAAAATTCATGCATGAAAGAATCTCTGGAATAGTGTACACACGATATCAACTATTCTAGGTTTAAAAAATGCATTCTGTTTAGTATTTGTTTTCTCTATTCCACTTAGCTGCAGGGTTTTTTAAATTTTTGTTTGTTTTTTTCTATCTACCTACTTTGAGTTGAGTAGTGATAGGTTTGCTTTTGCTGTATATATCATTTTTTGAACCTTGATAGTTATTTTATCATGTTCATTTCAATTTATGCAGATAAAACTTGATTCAATTTTGGTTTGTATTAGATCACTTACCTTTTTTGCTGCTGTTCTGGCTACTTATTGTGGGTGAAACAGTGTGAAAGTGAGTTTAGTGAGATGACTTTAAAATATAATCTTCTAAACATGAGAAAATAATTCAGAGACTCATTTCCTTACATGTATAATATTTCTATATAGACATGACATCTAATTTCACAGTTTCAGTTATGAGAAATATCTCAGGAAACACCTAGTCTTGAAGAGACAGTTTGATGTAAAAGCCAGAGACAACTAGATATAGAAGATTGGCCTCTCTTTGTAATAAACATTTTCTTATGGGAAATTATATGAAAATAGGACAGAATAATGAACTGAATCTCTTTGTACCTGCTTCTGTTATCAATTCATGTCAGTCTTGTTAATTTAAGCTCCTACTCACATAATCCCTCCTGTCCTTAGTTCATCTGTAAATATTTAGCATGCAGCTCTAAAACAGTAGAACATTTAGGAAAAGTAATCACAGATTTATTACATCAAAAATTAAAAATGTGTAATATTAAGAATCTAGTGAGTTTAAATTTCTAATCACTTTTTTTTAAACACAGTTTTAATTAGTTTTTGTTTTTTTTTTTAATTTATTTCTAGGAGAGAGAGAGAGCGTGAGCAGGGGAGGGTCAGAGAGAGAGGGAGACACAGACTGTGAAACAGGCTCCAGGCTCTGAGCTGGCAGTCAGCACAGAGCCCGACACAGGGCTCGAACCCACGAACCGCGAGATCATGACCTAAGCGAAAGTCGGACGCTTAACCGACTAAGCCACACAGGCGCCCCTGTTTTAATTAGTTTCTAAATGTGACCCATACACTGTGATATTTTTAAGCTATATGTTCTCCGTGAGACACTCCTCACTCCCTCGATTATTTTCCCTTGCAATTTATTTGTTGAAGAAATGGCTTCATTTGTGTCCTGCAATTTCCCAGTTTGGATTGTGCTAATTGAACCTCTGTATTTTCTGTAAATTGTCAGATCTAGAACTTTGGTAATATTAAGGTGTAATTTGGAGAAGGTACAAAATTACTTCTAAGTGGTGGTATCTTCTGTCAAAAGGCATATAATACCTGCTTTTCTTTTGATATTAGCAGTCATTAGATGCTCAAAGCCTATATGTAGCAGGGAAACTACTTGATGCCTGGATTTTTTAATTCTGTTCTTTCTTTTACCATACCATGTGCTTTGATGTCTGAATAATTATGACCGTACTGCTTTTACCTGAAATTTCTTTTACACTCTTTACCATATTCAAGATCCAGCTCAAAACATGTGATGGAGTGTGCTTCATTTGTTTTTTTAATCATGGTTTTGTATTTTTGATTCAATGATTCAGAGGTTTGAGTCCATGTTCAGTACATTTTGATACTTGGTTTTTATTTTGATACTTGGTTGCTAAAATGCAGTCTCTCCAACACAAGTAGATTAAATGGAAGAAGTACATTGTTGGGAACCTTAACAGTTTTAGTTTTCATCCCAACTACTGTCTTTAGAGCTAGTCTCCTGTTCACAGTGTTTGGTTTTTCAATGTCTTGCTGATCACAATAACTTCCCCCCTCATATTAGCTATTATTTCAGTACAGTATGGGTTTTGTGTAAGGTTTATGGTTAATAAGAATGAATGTAAATCTTTTATTTTACTTAGTCTCCTAATGTGTTTCAGTTTTTTGGTTGACTCATCACTGATTATATGGCCATGGTTTTGCTTCATAATGTAACTGATAAAATTTGTGTATTAAGAGTAAGATAATTGCATTAGTGTTTTATGGGGTTCTGTCGTTATTTGTGCCTTCATTATTAGTGTTCTCTTCATTCCTCCAATTCTTTGCAGCAATGACATCTATTAAGAATAAATGCTTACTAATATATAAGACGGATTAGCACAGATCCCCTCATATTCCCCTGTCACCCAGGGCATCCATGTCGGGCCTCCTTTAAATTCTTGACTGTTGGTTAAATTTAGAGTAGTTACTAGTTCACTCAGCTGAGCTCATACATCACAATGTGTCACAAGATGCTGGCTCTGGTTTGTGGGACAACCAAGTAAATGTGTAATTGTTTGATTTTATTCTGGAACTATCCCATTCCACACTTCTCATGGGATTTTGTAGGTGCCTCGTATAGCACGTGAGCACCTGACAGACTCAGTGGGGCTACCAATGCCAGTCCATGTATCATATACTAGTACCACATTTATTTTGTAATTTTCTCTTAC